TTTAAATTATGTCTTTACAACGTTACGTAGATAGTTCCGAAGAATATATACTTTTTCTCACTGATTTAATCAACAACAGAGATATTGGTCATCTAAGACGGAATCTTACCAAATACTACGACGCTTTTGTTTGATAGTCAATGAAGCCAGTGCTTTTTTTGTTGTTGAATAAATGACATATATTGGTATTCATATGCATTTTAAACTCATTTCCATGGAGTGGCGTATAATGAACCTCTATAGCCTTACCAATCAGTGTCATTTAAAGTATCGCTGTTGAGTAAGTTCGGTCCTTATTCAATAGATGTTTGGAGACATCAAAAATGAAACCAGTGTATACTACTTATGTATTAAACAATTAAAGCATAGATACACCTTATTATTTACTATCTTTCGATTCCTAAACTAACGACAGAAGAATATTTATGAGTTTTAGATACTACTACTACTCATAATAATAATGATAATAATAATAGTAATAATAATAATAATGTAGTGAACGAAGACTTGATAGGGAAAATCAATTACCTTTTTCATGCAAAGTTACACGGTGCCTTCACAAAATATGAAAATTATACATTAAATACATTATTTGCGCATTTTCCTATAGTTGCCTTTATATACTTCATGATTTTTTTAAATTCTGTTGTTTATACAATTGCTCTTCCTTTTCCTTCCTCTTCACTTCATTTCACTCTTTTACTTGTAAGGACTCTACTTTAAATTCATGCTCTATACTACTTATGTCTTTCCGCATAATTAACATACATTACACTCCCACCATTACCATTACATTCATTATTGATAACAATGATGTACATTATAATTCTTTGTGAGTATAATACTGCAATAGCTCTGAGAATAACAATTGAATCATTAAATGAACGATGTTAAAATGAACCTGACACAAAAAATCGGTGAATACCAACTGGCTTCGTTCATGAAGTTATAATTTTGATAAATACTTGAACATAAAACAGATTGAAAGCTGTTTACTTCATTTATCATCGCCCTATGATTTATTATTCTTGATTTCCAATTTTTTTTTGTTTGACTAAGCAATTTTAGTGTCACAGAAGGTCTTTTTAATTATGATTTTTACACATAAAGTGACAGGTCTTAAATATTTTAACTATATACCTGAACATATAGATTAGTTTACGGATAATAATTTAAGAGATGTTCGTCATCATAAAAAGTTCAGCTACAATATGTTTCCATTTCATTTTAAAATATCACGTTACAATTCACTATTCGTATTTATTAAGCAACCTTTTCTGATAATCTCATTAATCAATTAGATAGTTAAACCATTACAAATAAACTGTAGTTTATATGGTATAATGTGACAAGATATTAAAAGCTAACCATGGGATTACCTTCATATTATTATTTTTTTTAAAAAAATAGAACGATATCGAAGAAATACGTATTGAAATGTAGTCAAAAATGTACTTCTTTTTGAGGATATCTATGTAGAATATAATAACATCATATTCAATGTTGAATCAAGTTTACTTTATTTGACAATTCTAGAGTTTGTTTTTTTCTAATACACCTTATCATTTTAATCATGATTACTTCTTTCGTATATTTGTACTACACAAATTGTCAACATTTCTAATTTGATCACAATTGATATGATCCTTAATAGTTTTGAACTACGAAAAATATAAGAAGGAATAGAGGAATATTTTTTTTAAAAAAAATAAAAAAACTGTTTTTCATTACAATTTTTTTCTTTCACGTTTGTAAAATTTAACTAAGTAAAGGTTAATTAGTTTAGTTAAAAGAACAAAAAAAAAAAAGAAATCTATTGCCTAAGGGTCTTTTTCCATTGATTATTGGTAAATTTCTATATGAGAAAAAAAAAGCTAAAAGAAAGGAACAAATGGGGAAACTTTAGGAAAAAGGGATTTGAAAAAGAAAAAAAAAATACATAGAGAATAATTGTGTATAATATGAATTGTTGAAATTATTTAAAATATTAATTTATTGATAGTTGACTATTCTATAGTAAATTAAATAAATAGATTTATTTTTACAAGGGAAAATTATTTTCATAATTATTTATAACTATAGAATTATAAAGATTGTTGAATGTATGGGTTGAGATGATGAATTGATTAATGTTAGACTATCATTGAATACTTGGAAGTATTAAATATCTGTTTTGTAGATAGTATGGAACTCGTTAGTAGTGGACAATACAACAGTGGAATTTATTTAAGATTTATAGGATGTTGTTAGTATGTATCTGTTATTTGTTAATCATTAAATGATTTATATAAAATTGTTTGATTATACTATCAAAAAGTGTATATTTGAAACTTAAATCAGAAATTCTTATTTTATAAAATTTTTATCTTTGTGAACAATATCATGAGTGAAAACGTGATGAACATGAAATTTTAATAATTGAGTAATGAGTAGAACAAAAACGCATAGAATATTAAAAACCTACATATTGTAATATATACTATTTATGTTGATCGATATAAGCAGTATGTAACATCAGTCTAAAGTAGAATGCCTGGTAAAAGAAAATTGAGAAGATCGAATTAAGGTGAACAAGAATGTAAACGAAGTGTAAGTGTAATAAAAACAAGGATAAAGTAACAATAAAGTTTATAAGAGACAACTATTAAAAGATGTACAAATGAAGTATTTTATGTATAGTTATCATATTTTAAGAAAACACTGTAATTTTACATTCAAAAAAAGAAACATACTACTATTAAAGACAAGAGATCATTGAACATTCAGTAATTATACATCAATCTAAAGAAAATTGACAGTGAAAATTTTATTTTGTGATAGATTAAAACTATTTTTTGGACATTATACAGAAAAGGTATTTCAGTCATATGAGGGCTCTTTATTTTGTCGTCATTTAGATCAGACGATGTTTGTTGACGGGCTCTCCACTTTAGTGGCCCGACATCTGACTACAAGTAGATCGTATGAATTTTGGTTATCACCTATCCTCGTGTATAATCATCGACTTAAATTGCGTTGGTCAATAACAGAATTAAATAAGACAAGTAACGAGAATAGACTTTTGAATACATATATTTTGTATATGAAGTAAGTGGAAGAGAGTGAAGCGAATGGAATAGAAAGAAGAAAAACTACCTGCAGTGGAGATGGCGGGTAAGCCGACTCCCATTTAACTAAGCATTAATCAATATATATAGTTACACAAAAATAAGTTACAGACATGTGATGAGTAACGCGATAAGAAGTGTACACACACCTACGTGCTCATATAAAAACAATCAAGATTGATAAACGAATAATTAACAAGGTGAAAATGTGACTCAAGCAGAATGAATGGAATGGGCTGTCCGAAAGGTAGAATAAGGTATATGGGCTTAATATAATAACAGACACTACAGTATACGTATTATAATTTCGTTTTTTTTGCTTTTGCATTAAATATGACTTGTGATATGAAACTACTTTTAAAATAAGTAGAAAGTTTTTAATATCCATTTTTATACTGAATAAAAATTAAATATAATACTGGCAAATGTAGTTGTTAACATTAAACTATGCATAAATAAGTCATTATATGTGAAAATTATATTTGAAATAATCTCAGCAACGGAAATTTAAATAATTCCAACGTTTCATCCAGCTAACTTGTCTTGACTTGGATTATTACCCTGAATAAGTTCAGACAAGTTAGCTGGACGAAACGTTGGAATTATTTAAATTTCCGTCGTTGAGATTATTTCAAATATAATATTCACATATAATGACTCCTCTATACTCGGCGCCCGATTTCGGTCAAACTATTCGTTCTAATCTTGACAAGTATTCGTATAAACTATGTATAAATAATTTATCTTAGATATTCTTACATTCTTATTATCCCCTAAATCATTAATAAAAGCTTCAAAACTTCCAAGAGTTTACCAAGAAATAATTCTACCATATGAAATAATGATGCTTATCATATTTAGGTTTCTACTTTTTCAACAGTATTTCTTTATCTATATATAATACTCCATAACTTTGATTTGAAACAAGACTCATTTGGTCACACTGAAAATTAAATTCGATTTAAATTATTTCTTACTTTTGGATTAAAAGTATTAAAAAAACATTTTCTAATCGTAAATGGAAGAATGCAGATTAAAAGTGTGGTATCCAGATGAAATTAACGATCGGGAAAAGAAAAAAACTCAGTTTTTGTTTTGGTATTCATTTTTAAGAATATGATAGGAATGATATGAACAAATCACGTTATTATCAATTATTTATATGTAAATATATTCTGATTTATCCCTTTTAACTAATATACATACGATTTTCTTATCTTACTTAACAATGCAGTTACTGATTTCAATTATTAAGAACAATTTAGTCCCTATTTCAGTTTGTAACTATGTTATGCTAAAAACATTGATGTTCAATATTATAAACTAAATCAAATTTTTTTGTCATTAAGATTTATGTTCAAAACTTGAATGATTTCGTATAGAGACAATCAACTATACACCCAAAAACTACAATGTGACTGATGTTTTATTTAAGTCATAATTGAGTTTTAGGTTATGTGATGACAATGACAGATATTGTGCAAAGCCTTATTGGTGAAAAAGCTTTCTCCTGTAATACGTTTTCGCTTACAATTTGAAAATCTTTTTTACTTTCTATTAGGTCTATTGAAGTTCTTAAAATAGCCATGTTTAACAAAGTTTATAATTTATTCAGTTACACATGTGAATATCAATCTGAAGTAGTTGAAACTACTGCTATTACATATATAACCAAATTTTCAATATTACAAAACATCCCTGATATCTAATATCATAATTCTAAATGTTTCTTTCCTACCGTTTTAACTTCATCATCCATGTCTACCTTAATAGCTGTTCTTTCATTTATGATTGGTCGATTTTAACTAGCCAATAATCATGCTTACTAGAGTAATATTCATTGGATGAAATCCAGGCCCCATAATAATCACAGTTAGCTGCATTACAACTAGATAATCTACACGGATGATTTGTTAAGTTTTAAAATTCTTTATTATTTTAGCATTGATAGTATTCAATTTCCCATTTTCTCTTATGTAAAAATATAATCATATTTATAGTATCAAAGAACAGAAATCTCACTTAAAAGCCCCTTTAATGATTTTGTGCTCTTTAGGTAGGACAAATTGAGTTCCTGGAAAATCAATGAAAATTCATTTAAAATAAGTAACATTCAAATCAATATTTATTGATTATCTAAAGATAAATGGAGAGAAAGTTATTTCACACTTTCACAATTATAAAACAGTATTTAAAGAACTACAAAATATATTTACCTTTTAAAATACACCTATAAAATACAATGTAATAACAAGTCAAAATTTCAAACAATACGAATAAACGTGTTATACAAAATCCCTTAGAAATTAACAGTATAATGGATATTTCACAAGTCAATTTAATACATTATGAGAATTATAGAAACTGGATATTATGGCGTAATTCTACGCTATTTTTGTTGATTCTTTGTACTGGTATTTTTATATCCATTGATATTTATACAATATCTGATAGAAAGTATAATATAGATTGGAATAATTATGGAAATGATGAATCGTCAGTAATAATTAAAAGAACAATTAAAAATATTATTGAAAAAGACAAATATAAAGATAGTAGTACAGTTGATTTCATGAATGATCAATCTATACATTGGAATATTAATGATAATAATAATAATAATAATAATAATAATAATAATAAAATAAATGAAACTTTATTAAGATCTCACTACTCAAATCCTTATAGATTAAAAAACTACATGAATAGTATTACAAAAACATGTTTAAATATGGAATCTATTGATTGGAATATGATGTTATGGAAAGATAAAGGAAACTTTTATAATGAACGTAAGTTTTTCTTGAATTAATTAAGAAAGAAAGATATATTGTAATTTGTGATTTCATTGATGTGAACGATGTTTAACCCTAGTGATCATTTTTGATAGTTTTGTGTTGGTTTTTTGTGTTAAATCGTTTAATTATAGATGTTTATATACAAAATTATCAACGTCTACTTTAAGGATAAAATGGGATCTTTAAAACTTTTCAAAATCCAGTATGTTTACAAAGTTGGTGTAAGGTAAAATGTTCAGAACGAACGGTAGCACTTGAATTAAATTATTGTGCACAGAAAACATATAGTGGCTGGCCCTATGTCGAGCCTATATAGGTTATTCTAGTTTCTAACAGATCAATCTATTCATTCTTTTTGAGACACATTTTGACTTTGTTAATAATTTGCTTCACCTTTCTTAGCCTTTGACTTACCTCGCCTCTATTCAATTCGACTATAAATATTGGGTAATGCTTAATTCGAGTCGATTCACAAGCCTTCTCCACCGCACGTCATTCCGTTTCACTTTCTTTGCTTTGCTCTCTTCGTTTCATTTTTTGACCATGTGTTTGGATTAACGATTGAATGCAATACATGTATTTGAAATTGATTATCGTATTTGGCTTATTTAATTTCGTTATTCACCAACGCGATTTAAGTCGATGATTATATAAGAGGATAGCCGACATGTATATTTCGACGACAATCAACACGTGATCAAATTAGAGTAAAATATTCCAGGGCTACTAAGAACACGAAATCATTCAAAATCACTTGTAAAATATTTATAGCAAAAATCAGTGATGTAAGTTCCTCGTAAATTACACATCAACAAACATTCATAAATACATGGCACAAAAGTTCTAATAATATAACAAATCTACATAAGTTATAAATAATATACTTGTAATATCCGAATGATTAGAAAAAATTAACTTTTCTGACGTTTCGTGACTCAGTATAAGCCAATTCTCCAGAGAATAAATAACCAAATAAAAATTAATCTAAGTTTTATTATTATTAAATTATCAAGTCAAACCTTAGTAATAATACCTACATAAATTATACAATCTTAATTAAGTACATTCATTGTGTGTTATATCTTACATCACACATGTAAGATCAGTTTTGATACATACTGATTGACTGATCTGTATGCATATATATATCAAATACTCAACCACATTTATACAAATTAATATTTCACTGTTTCTATCTAACCTGATAAGTATAGAAAACCATGAGTCAATTGAACCTAGACCACCATGGAAAACCTGAAAGCACTGGACGGTCATTTCTTCCTAGTATGGAACTCAACAGCAGCGCGCATCCACGATTCCACCCCCCGCGAGATTCGAACTCAGGACATATCAGTCCCGCGCGTGAGCGCTTAACCATCAGACCACTGAGCCGGCCAGCATCTAATGGTGTTAATATCTAAATTCAACCAATCCACGGACGAAACGGCCGTCCAGTGCTTCCAGGTTTTCCACGGTGGTCTAGCTTGAATTGAATCATGAGCTCAACTACTGAAATTACTAAAATCTCCACAAAATCCCTCCTGATAAGTATAGAAAACATTTATTTGTTATTTAATATAGAAATAAGTAGGAAAAAATAAATATATTTCATTAAACCCTGTTCTGTTCATTTACTTTTTTAGAAAAAAAACTATTTTTTTTCAAACAGAATGTGATAAGATCAACTACAATTTGTTGTTGTTGTTGTGGATACAAAAAAAATAGATACATAGATAGAAGTATCAAAATAGTGATAATAATGATTATCTTAAAAATTCACCTATTTATGGGGAGGGTGTTATAATTTAACAAGAAAAATAAATTAATTTCAATCAATGAATATAATAAAAAAATAATAACAAAGAATAATCAAAGAGATCACATAAAATAATTACATGAAATACATCAATATTGATTATTATTTTCAGGAAATAGTTTCTAGTTTTTTGTTATTGATTTATGATTAAGATTAATAAATATCAAAATAAGATATTTAATTGATTAAATTAAAAAGTTAATTTTAGTATTAAATTGATAATAGTAACATATTTTTTTTTCTTTTTTCTAAAAATATAAATCATTTTTAAAGTTTATTAATTCTTTATAATTTTGTATTTGTTTTCATGTAGTTTATTTATAATTATTTATAAATGTCTACTTTTCATTTTGATGAATTATTTCACTTATTTTAAAATTTATAATTTAAAAAAAATTGTAACCTTTTCAAAATCAAAGTTATTTATGTTACTAAGGGGATATGTTGTTGCTAATAAAATTATCATTTAAATTAATTTTCTTTTATTACTCTTAACACAGTACATATTTAATAATTGTTTAAGGTTTCAGTATGAATTTTGAAATGATTATGAACTAGCTTGGAGATTTTAGATAAAATCTATCAATAGTATTTTATTTGATATAAATCATCTATTTACTGATAAATTTGACATTTCATTACTATTCAGTAAAAGTACAAGATAAATACGAAATTAAGTCATTAAGGCTAAGCGACAAATCTCTAAAACTACTTATTTATCATATCACTTAGAGAATACATGTTGATAGGAATAGTTAAACAGTCAGTCAGAGACTACGTGAAAAATGTTCATAAACCATTAACCATATAAAGCAGACAGTACATTATTAATCCTTACGAACACAGACTAGTAACTCATTAACATAATCGTAAAAATGTATTCTAGTATTGCTAATGTTAAATGAAATCTAATTATAAAATGTAATCCAAGTATAAAAGGAATTTTACGTATTTTTACACACTGGAAATTCTCCACTATTTCAAAACGAAACAAAAAAAAATACAATCAAATAAATATCATAATAAGATGTGATTGGAGATTGTGTTTATTGTATTCAAATACATGGTATTGTAGTGAACAAATTCACAAGTGCGGACAATCAAATATATTTGAACACAAAATTACAGAGCATCTCAATATAATCTGAAAACCATATAGTAAATCGTTCATTTGTAAAATATCAATCCATCATATCAAACTTGACTGTTCCTGTTGCAAACATGAATCCATTATCTCAGATTTCATTGTTCATGCGTATTCATTACCAATTACGTTTCATTCCTTTTCTTTCCTCATCGGCCTTCTGCTGAAATATATTCTATGCCTGATCACCGTTATATACTACTTGTGTGGATATAATTAACCCACACCACAGTATCACATAAAAGCTATAATAATAGTTAGTTAGTTAGCTTAATAGTGACATTACAAACTGATTAACTGAATTCGATAAATAAAACCCAATGATCAATCAACATTAAATGAATTATCCTAAAATACATTTAGCAATAATAATAATAATTATTATTTGATGAAAACTAAATGAACGGTCAAAAATGATTAAATTAAACATGCAAATCTTATTAAACAGTGTATTTGTTTTGTTTTTCATTCTCTTTATCAAAATCAAATTTATTAAGAATAGCATACATGATACAGTGATGGAAATAACAAGTACATATAAACAGTAACATGACAGAACCATGTATTCAAATCGTGAAAATAAATAATAAAAAAAAAACAAAACTGATTTTCTTTTTTATATTTTTTTTCGTAACATTGTATATATATTTACTCTTGAGTTAACTTAGGATTTTAATAAAATCTACTAATCTTTTTCAAAGAACTAGTTCATTATAGTCTAATTAAAATCTAATGTCAACGTTCTTAGTAATAGACAATGTAAAAAGAAAAGAGGGACAACGTAGTTTTTCTTTATTGTATTTTGATGAAGACGAAACGTCAAATAAGAGGAAATTATTCATTATTTTTGTTGTTGTTGTTGATTTCATTATGAGGTAATAAAACAAAAAATATCAGTAGTAGATAGATAAGTGGAGATTTGTAGCTCAGGTAGAAGTCTATCTGAAGTTTTTACTGATGGTGTTGTTCAGAAGAACGATGAAAGCTCCACGACTAAACCATCCAACTCAGTGAACGAAATTCCCTCAAAAAAGATAGATAAGTTTCAAATTATATTTTATACAATAGCATTTAAGAATGAAATCAAACATATCATAATTGATTTATGAGTCTTTAAGGTTTTCACGACTTACAGTATCATTGTAATGAGCGAACACTCAAGTAAGGACAAACAATTTACTATTTAACACGAAATTACAGAATTTATTAGTAAAACGTAAAAAAACTATACATTGAATACTTCATTTGCAAAATTCTATTCGTATTTTGTTCAAGTTGGCCTTTATAGCCTTCTGCTGCTATTCATTTCTCTTCTAATTGGTGCTACCTACTACTTACAACTGTCGACATAAGTAGAATAGACCACACACCATCTCTGACAATAACTATAGATGGTAATGGTTAAAGTTGTTACAGTAACTTAAAAAATGTTCACTTAACACAAAATATTAATAATGCTTTTGAGTTTGGAACTCTGAATATATTTATTTAGGTTCAGTAAGTTACTGATTTGACTGTTGAATCACAACAAAAGCTTTTTTATTATAGGACGCTGATTGATTCTAGTTAATCATAACTCCGTAATTAGTGATACTGTGGTGAGAAATATTAGTCTCCTGTTTGTTTACCGTTTTATTTTGGATCTATATATATATATATATATATATATATATAACCCAAGAGGATTGATAGTGCAGTTCATATTTGACACTATTGGCCAGTTTATTGTTTACATCATTATTGTCCAGTATTATTATTCACTAATTTTTCCAATGTAAATGTTAATCCATTTTCAATAAAATATAATAAGAAGTAAACAATAAGTGAACAATCTACCCTTATATATTATCTAATGTAAATCTGTTAAAGTTTAACTCTAAACCTACATCTCTGTACTAATTTATCATGTAGATAATAAACATTTAGTAATTACATTTTATTTTCAATTATCAATTATTTGTAATTTCAATATGAACATAATAATTATAATAAATCAAATGTAGATTACTTTGTCCAATAAAAGAAGCATCATTA